GAGTTCAAAAAGGAAATTAAAAATCACGTAAGAGAGGTAGAAGAAAAATTGGGAAGAGAAATGAGAGTGATGCAAGAGAATTATGAAAAAAGAGTCAACAGCTTGGAAAAAGAAAACAACTACTTAAAAAGTAGAATTGGCCAAATGGAAAAGGAAATACAAAAGCTAACTGAGGGAAAAAACTCCTTAAAAGTTAGAACTGGGCAAGTAGATGCTAATGACTCTATGAGACATCAAGAATCAATCAAAAAAATTCAGAAGAATGAAAAAAATAGAAGAAAATGTAAAATACCTCGTTGGAAAAACAACTGACCTAGAAAATAGATCCAAGAGAGACTGTTTCAGAATCATTGGACTACCTGAAAGCATAGAAGGCATCTTTCAAGAAATGACCAAGGAAAACTGCCCTGATATCCTGGAACCAGAGGGCAAAATAAGCATTGAAAAAATTCACCAATTACTCCAGGAAAATGATCCTAATATAAAAACCTCCAAGGAACATTGTAGCCAAATTATGGAACTATCAGATCAAGGAAAAATACCTCAAGTGGCCAGAAGGAAACAATTCAAATATTGGGGAGCAACAATCAGGATTACACAGAACTTAGGAGCTACAACATTAAAGGATCAGATGTCATGGAACATGATATCCCAGAACTGCAACCAAGAACTACCTACCTGTCAAAATTGTGCATAATACTTAAAGGGAAAAAAATGATCATTCAATAAAATAGAAGGATTTCAAAGCTTTCATAAGGAGAAGACCAGAATTGAACAAAAAATTTGATCTCCGGTATCAAGATCCTGGAGAAGCATAAACATGTAAAACAAAAAGAAAATTATAATTTAAAAAATTAAAAAGCTTTTGCACAAACAAAAGTAAAAAGCTGGGAAACAATCTTTACAGCAAGTCTCTCTGATGATGGTCTCATTACTCAAATATGTAGAGAATTGAGTCAAATTTATAAGAATACAAGCCATTTCCCAATAGATAAATGGTCAGAGGATATGAACAGGCAATTTTCAGATGAAATCAAAACTATTTATAGGCATACGAAGAAGTGCTCTAAATCACATTTTGATTAGAGAAATGCACACAACTCTGAGGTACCATCTCACACCTATCAAATTGGCTAATAAAAAAAAAGGAGAATGATAAATGTTGGAGAGGATGTGGGAAAATTGGGTCACTAATGCACTGTTGGTGGAGTTGTGAACTGATCGAGCCATTCTGGAGATCAGTTTGGAACTGTGCATACCCTTTGACCCAGCAAAACTGCTACTAGGTAAAATTTATATCCCAAAGAGATCATAAAGAGAAAAGGCCTTACATGTGCAAAAATATAGCAGTCCTTTTCGTGGTGGCAAAATATTGGAAATTGAAGGAATGCCCATCAATTGGGGAATGACTGAACAAGATGTGCTATATGAATGCAGTGGAATGCGATTGTGTAGTAAGAAATGATGAGCAGGCAGATTTCAGAAAAATCTGGAAAGACATGTATGAACTGATGCAAAGTGAAATGAGCAGAACCAGGAAAACATTGTACACAGTATCAGCAACATTGTGTAATAATCAGCTATGAATGACTTGGCTCTTCTTAGCAACACAGTGATCTCAGACAAGTACAAAGGACTCAGGAAGGAAAATGCCATCCACATCCAGATAAAGAACTGTTGATGGACTCTGAATGTAGATCGAAGCATACTTTTTTAATTCTTTTTCATGTTTTTCTCTTTTGATCTGCTTTTTCTTTCACAACTGTGACTAATATGAAATTATGTTTTACATGATAGCACATGTATAACCTATATCAAATTGCCTACCATTTTAGGAGGGAGATGGAGGGGAGAAAAACTTGGAACTCACAATCTTGTAAAAATGAATGCTAAAAATTGTCTTGACGTGTAGTTGGAAAAAATATTATTAAAAATAAATAATCAAAAAGTACAATTGAAGACCTAAGCATCATGATAAAGAAACATGGAAAGTGTATTTACTTAAAAAATATGAAGTATTTGGTTCTTTGTGTTTCATGGTGATATAAGCCAACTCTAACCACCTACCTGGACACCATAACAAGGTTATCCTGCAGAAATAGAATCCATATCTACACTTCCTTAATTTTATGTTTCTCCTTTAACACATCATTATCTAAAAATGTAACTAATGGACTCGTTTTATTTCCAGTTCAAAATTTCCTCCTACCCTTCAAACTCTTCCCCCACCCATTGAGAGGACAAGAAATACAATACCCATTATACATATGAAGTCGTGAAATGATTTTCACATTAGTCATGTTTCAGGGAGGGAGAAAAGGCAAAAAGAGAAAGTGAAAGAAAATGAGCTTCAATCTGCACATAGTTTATCATTTTCCTTTCTGGAGGTGGATAGTATTTTTTATCATGAGTCCTTTGGTATTGTCATGGATCATTGTATTGCTAAGAATAACTAAGTCTTTAACAGTTGATCATCATATAGTATTGCTATTGTTGTGTACAATGTTCTCCTGGCTTTCCTTCCTTCACTTTGCATCAGTTCATATAAGTCTTCCTAGGTTTTTCCAAAGCCATCTCCTTCATCATTTCTTGTGACATGATAGTATTCCATTACAGTCATATATATAATAACTTACTTGTTCAACCATTTCCCAATTGATGGACATCCTCTCAATTTCCATTTCTTTGCCACCACTAAAAGACCTGCTATAAATATTTTTGTATATATGGGTTCTTTTCCTTTGATTTCTTTGGGCTACAGACCTAGTAGTGGTATTCCTGGGTCAAAGGGTATGCTCAGTTTTATAGGCCTTTGGGCACAATTCCAAATTATTCTTCAGAATGGTTGGACCAGTTCCCAGCTCAATCAGCAGTGCATTAGTATCCCTATTTTTCCACAACCCCTCCAGCATCTGTCATTTTCTTCATTTGTCATCTTGGCCAACCTGATGAATGTAAGGTGATACCTCAGAGTTGTTTTAATTTGCATTTCCTTAAATTTTTAGTGATTTAGAGTATTTTTTCATATGACTATTGCTTTGATTTCTTCTGAAAACTCATATCCTTTGACCAATTATCAATTGAAGAATGGCTGTTATATGAATTTGGCTCCATTATATTTGGGAAATGAGACCTTTACTAGAGAAAATTGCTACAAAATTTTTTTTTTCCCAGTTTCTTGCTTTCCTTCTAATTTTGGCTGCATTTTTAATTTTTATTTTTTTGGTGCAACCCCTTTTTAATCTAATGTAATCAAAATTAGCCATTTTACCTCCTGTGATCCTATCTCTTGTTTAGTCATGAAGTTTTTCTTTATCTACAGATCTGACAGGTAGTTTTCCCCCCTCATGCTCCTCTAATTTGCTTGTGATATCACCCTTTATGTCTAAGTCATGTACCCATTTTAACCTTATCTTGCTATTGAGTGTGAGATGTTGGTCTATGCCTAGTTTCTGCCAGACTGCTTTCTAGTTTTCCCAGCAATTTTTGGCAAATAGTGAGTTCTTGCCCCAGTAGTTTGGATCTTTGGGTTTATGAAATGCCAGTTTACTGTGGTCATTTACTATTATATTATGTGCCTAATCTATTCCATTGGTCAACCCATTGCTCTACTTAAAACAACCAAAATAACAACAACCAGCATTTTGTGTTTTTATCAATGTGGGGACCTTTGGTTTGGGTATCTATTATTATACGTAATTACCACCTCTTTAATTCAGTCCTTTATAGCTACTTTTATAATCCTTTATAGTTATGTGACTTAACTATTGTTACACAGCCAATATGTGTCATAAGTGAGATTCAAACCTAAGTCTTGCTGATTCTACAGGCAGGTCCTATCATACTTAGCCCTCAAAATTTACTTTTGTGATGGACTTTCAGAAAAGTTCACAAGATCTCATAAAAAAAATATTCATTATAAAAAATTGTTATGTCCAGAGAAAAGGAGGGGTATATTCTTTTTCTGGATAAAAGTTTTATAAATATACAGTATTAAGTTTTGTTTTGTTATTCTTTGAGTTTTTATTGTAGTGTTTGTGTATATCTTTCCTATTTATGTTTACTTTTAATCATAAAAAACATCCCATGTTTCTCTGAATTCCTTTATTTAGTTTCTTAAAACACAATAATACTCCATTATTCATATGCCACAATTTGTTTAGATATTCTTAATTCCCCCTTCATTCTCAATACTTTGCTAATGTAAAAATGCTGCTATAAATATTTTGATATATAATAGGCCTTTCTGTATTTGATCTCCTTAGAGGAATAGGTTCCTAGTAGAATCTCTGGATCAAAGGGTATGAATACTTTGGTTACTTTTATTTCATAATTCTAAATTATTTTCAGTAGTTATTAGACTAATTCAAAGCTTTTACAACTGTGTATTTGTGTGCCTGTCCTTCCATAGCTCTCAAGGGACTTTTATTTAATTAAGTACCAAAATAACATTGTGATTAGGTGATTTCACTAATTATTTAGTGACTCCCACATGTAGGTTCTGATGATAGCATTATATCAAGTTTCACTAAATTTTATTCTTTCCCAAATGAATGCAAGCAACATAAAGCAAGGTCATTGTGGGATATGTATGTATTTAGGAGTACTTGTGGTATTTGCCTTTTGAGCGCCTTTACGTCTGGATTCTTTGCATTGCCTAAGGAAAGCTCAAATAGCCAGCATTTTTTTTCCTGTGGTACTATATAGATGAGAAAAGACCTGTCGTTAGACAGGTCAAACATGACCTATGTTTACCTTTCCTTTCTATTCTTAAGGCTTATTGTTTAAATTAAGGTGCCTGCCTTCAATAAAGAACATAATATATACATTTTTATTGAGTTGGTATCCATCAGTCACAATTTCATATCCCAATACCATACCCGGGTAGCAGCTGTTATTTCAGTTTGCGGTGCCCACATTATTAGTCATGAAGAGTTAATTTCTTACATTCTTTTAGAAAATACTTTTTTTCTTATCAAATTTTATTATCAATATTTTAGGAAATGATGCAGGAAAAGCAACTTTTCAGCAATCAGTTAGATGAAAGAACAAGAGAAGTCTACCAGCTAGAGGAAGAACTCAAGAAAACCAAACATTATCTAAAGCAGAATCAGAATCTTGCAGAAGAAATGAAAAGTAAGTTGAATGACGGTTTATTTTTGCTTTTATGGTGAGGCAGTGGGGTTAAGTGACTTGCCCAGGGTCACACAGCTGGTAAATGTCAAGTGTCTGAAGTCAAATTTGAACTCAGACCCTCCTGACTCCAAGGCCAGCGCTCTATCCATTGTGCCACCTAGCTACCCCTGAATGACTTTTTAAGTATTTGGTATCTAAGCTGGTGTTTTCACTAAGAGAAGACGACACAAATCTTTGAATATCCTGGAGATGTTCAAATTGTTAAGTTGTAAAATTGTAAATTATTAAAGTTTGCTTTGGATAATGTCCTTGGTTTTTGGTTAGGAGTAGGGAAGATAATGAGACATCAGTGCACATTTTTACATGTAATTTATTTTAACAATTTATGTTATGGCAGTTGGGATTATTTTAAATTAACTGTCCCCAAATGGCTGCTTTGTAGTTCTTTGAAAGCAAAATGGTAAAATGTTCCAAACAGAACTATATTGTCAGTAAATCACTTTCCCTACAATACTGTTTTTTATGTTTCAAGTGTGTTAGTTATACTAAGACTATTCATTTCATTTTTCATTACAATTTTTCTTACGAATATTGTAAAAATCAAGTCGATTCTATTTTTTGTTAATTTCATTCTGTATTCACTGTGTGACATTTTTATAGCTGCCTAAGTCATGTTTCATTTGTCTTAGAGTTAAGTTTGGAAATCCAGCTTTCCTGTAAATCATTTATTGTCCCTGAGCTAAGTTTAGAAGTTGAGATCTCTTTCTCCTGCTAATCACTGTTCTATTCTTGTGTCAAACAAATCTGTTATCCTTGAAGGATGCAGGTGAATGCCAAGGAATCTGGTCTATTATCCAAGGGAGTCTTATCCATTATCACTAAACTGTCCTTGCAGTTGGACTCAAACAATGAACTTTTTAGTGACAGGATGGAAGGAGGGGTTGTTTCTAATCCCTCATTCCTAATTTCCAGTCAATCATATTATTCATCATACTCATGATATTTCAGATTGTATAACTAATCATATTGCTTTCCCTATGTATAATACTATAAACTTTATAACCAATCATATTGTTTTCCCATCTATGATGCTGCCTTCTATTCTAGATCTTTACAGAAAAGGCTCCTCCTTTAGTCTATAAAAGAAAACTGTCCCTCTCATTAGGGGTCTTTTGGCTTGTTGAAGAGCTGAGAGACTCCTTTTATATTAATTGCTAGCCTTACCAATAAATTGAGTGTTCTCAAAACCTTGTGCCTTGGTTTACCCTAATTTTGATTATAACACTTATAACCAACTTTTATGTAACTGTATTGTTTCCCAAGCCCTCAAGGACCATTGTCTTAGATTTCCTATTTGACTGAATGATTTTTGCAGCCAAATAATATTCCCTTAACCACACCTGAACTTACAATTTTTTTGCATGTATATTTTTGCCATACCTTATTCATATATACATATTTTTATTTGCTAACCTCATATTTATTAAGGGATTATATTTTTCTACGAGCTTTTTAATACTTATCATTTTAACTATTCTGAATTCAAATGATTTCATTCCTTCTTAGAAGAACTTTTCATCTTCACTGTTTTCTAAATAACAGCTGGTATAAATATCAATTATCTCTTGTTTTCTCCATGGAAAACTAAAAGGAAAAGAAACTCTTGTAGATTGCCATTACCATTTCCAAAAATAGACTGAAGTGGTGTCATGCATCAAATACTTCTTACCTCAGTTTTCCTAACTACAAAATATAGATTATTTGGGGCTAATAGAGGAGCTTCCCCTCATTGTAGTAGGTTTGTATTTACATATGCCATGTTAAGATTTGTTGCTGTTGAGTTGTTTTTTAGTTACATCTGACTCTTCATGACCCCATTTGGGATTTTCTTTGCAAAGATATTGGAATGGTTTGCCATTTCCTTCTCCAGCTCATTTTCTAGATGAGGAAATAGTGACAAATAGGGGTAAATGGCTTGCCCAGAATCACACAGCTACTAGTGTCAGAGATCAGAGTTGAACCTTTGAAGATGAGTCTTCCTGACTACAGGCCTGGTACTCTATCCACTGTGCCATCTAGCCGCCCCCATATTACGATAACAGTATGCTGTAAGTTTGAAATTATGTTTGTTCTGAGTAGTTATAGGTGAATCTAGCAGTTTCTTTCTCAGAATGGCAGGGGCAGTATTAACCTTTCAAGTTATTAAAAAAAGAACCTAAAAAGATTGTGAGAACAATGTACGTTAGGAAATGGGGGGTAGTCCCTTCTTGGCTTTGCTATGGTCTCTGTTTTTTTCTCAGTTACTTATATAGTTAAATTTGCTGAAAAGGAAGAATGATAAAGCTTTTAAAAGGAATGATTCCCATACGTATATTCCAGTGTTATTTTCTATATTGTTTGAAAGAACATTCACTACCTGATCTCAATAAATAATAGTTTCCCTCTTAAAGTATATAAACCCAAATAATGAGGAGTTCAAATTAATCTAGGAAGGTTTATAGGTAGTTGGTAATTCACTGTAATCTGGCTTATTTATTGTCCTGTAAGTTACAATTAATTAAAACATTATGTTTTTTAGATAAGAATACCACTCAAGAGGAAGCTTTAAAAACTCTTCAAAAAAAAATAAATCAACAGGAAAAATCTTTGACTTTGGAGAAACTAAAGCATGCAGTGGCTGATCTAGAGAAGCAACGGGATTGTTCTCAAGATCTGCTGAAAAAAAGGGAACATCATATTGAACAGCTCAATGATAAATTAAGTAGAACAGAGAGAGAATCAGAAGGGTTACTGAGTACCTTGGAATTAAAGGAGAAAGAATGTGAAGAACTAAAAAAAGAGACAACTCTGTTTTCTCAGTGGAAAAGTGAGAAAGAGCAACTTTTGAATCAGCTTTTATTGGAAAAGGAAGGCTTGCAAAGCAAAATTAATCATTTGGAAATATGTCTGAAGACTCAGCAGATGAAAAATCATGATGCCAATGAAAGCTTCAAAATAATGGAAACTGAAAAAGAAAACTTAAGCTTGGAGATCAGAAACCTTCAGAATGCAATAGAAGGAAAAAATGTAGAATTAGAAGCACAGAAAAGAGCCTATGATGAACTCCAGCTAAAAGCTGAATGCTTAGATAAGAAATATAAAAAGGAAATAGAAAATCTCTCTTTGAAAATAGTTCAGGTAACTGAGGAAGTTGAACATCTGAAACAAAAACTACAGTTGATGTCCAGTGAAATGCTGGGGAAAGATCAGCGTTATGAAGAATTGTGTATACAATATGAAAGGATCAATAGTCTAGTAAAATCTAAAAATATTTCTCAAATGACAAGTGATGATCACTGTGGGGATCTTTTGATTTTAGATCAGCCAGTTTTGAACAATTCTTTTACAAATATATTTGAAATTCAAGGAAGCCTGCCTTTAGAAGGGGGAGATCAGAAAATAAAATTGCATTTAGAAGACCAGAATGTAAAAAGTGCAGCTTTACTACAACATGACGTTTCTTCATTTGAGCTTCCGATAGAGTCTCAAAAGCAGATGAACTCAGAATTACAAAAACATTGTGAAGAGTTGGTGCAAATCAAAGGTGAAATAGAAGAACATATGATTAAAGGAGAGCATATGCATGAAAGTTTTGTAGATAAGCAGTTTCAAGTGTTGAGTGAACAACGGGAATCTGGACAAGCAGAAATCGAAGATTTAAAAATCAATAACCGATTACTTGAAGAGTCAGTAAAGGAGCTGCACTTGATGTCTGAAGCCCTGAGTTCTGAAAAAAAGGAAATTAATTCAGTTCTCTTTCAAAACAAGAAAGAAATTGAAGAACTGATCCAAGAAAATAGGAATCTCAAGGAAATTAATTCAATTTTAAATATTGAAAAAATGAACTTAATGCAAAAAAAATTCAATTTTTCAAACTGCTTAATTGAAAAGGAGAAAAATATTGCAGAGCTATCTGATAGAAACAAAGAGGAGGAGTTTCTTTTGGTAAAGAGATGTGAAGAAGCTGAAAAGGGACTTGAACTTCTTAAAGAAAAATATAAATTAATGGAGGAAAAGAACACTGAATTGGAATGTATCTTAAGGGAACATACTGCTAGTCTTTGTGGAAACAGAAATAATGAATTAAGAGACTTGGAAGGAGCTTTTGTAAGAGAACGTGAAGATTATGTAGGCCGGCTAGCCCTAGCTGAGGAAAAAAATGAGAAATTAGTTCTTGAGATGGAAACAATACAGTGTGGACTGAGAGCTGAGATTGTAGCTATTCAAAATAGTTCAAAGATTGAAGCTGATGGCTTAAGACAAGAAATTTCAAATTTCAAGTGTGAAAAAAGTAAAATACAAGAACAATATGATGTCTTGCTGCAAGAGAATGATAGATTGATGAAGTTAGTTAAGACAAAAGAGGTGCAAAGGAATGAATTGGTTCTTACTGGCAGCCCAGCTTCTGAACAAATCAATGAGTCTTTAAATGAAAATGGGAATGAATTAGATAATTTTAAGACGATTGAAGTTGAAATGTTTCGTATGAATCTTGAAGCTAAAGATGGCTCTTTAAATACTTATAATGCACAAATGGTACAATTTGAGGAAGTCACTGAACATGTGGAACTAAGACTTCAGGAAAGTGAAGAGGAGAAAGAGGTCTTACAGCAAGAATTGGAAGTGATTAGAAAGGAGCTGGAAGCTAGGGATTCAAAGGTAATGGAAACTCAGCAATATGATCAGTCATTTGGAACCAGCAACTATGAGGACGGCAAAAAAGAAATGGATGAAAAGTATATTTCAGTTCTGCATGAACTATCAACAAGCCAAAATGATAATGCACAACTAATGGCTTCATTGCAGACAGCAGTAAGTAAGCTAAATGAGTTAGAGAAGATGTGTGAGATTCTACAAATTGAAAAGTTAGAACTAACATCTGAGCTTAATGATTCAAAATCAGAATGTATCTTAGCAACTACCAAAATGGCAGAAAAAGTAGAGAAACTAGTAAATGAAGTTAAAACACTAAATAATGAAAATGACCTTCTTGGTGATCTTACTGAAGAGAATAATAAAGGTGAATTTGGGGAACAATGTAATGAACCAAAGTCTATTTGCTTAAAACTTCTAGAGGGCAGTATTGAAGATGATGGTGACTATGAACATTTGAAACTGTCAAACAAAGAAGTTCAAATGCATTTTGTTGAATTACAGGAAAAATTTTCATCTTTACAAATTGAGCACAGAATTTTACATGAACAGCACTGCTACATGAGCTCCAAGTTGTCAGAACTACGTTCTTACACTGACACACTAAAGGCTGAAAATTCCATATTGTCAATGAATCTTAAAAACCTGCAGACTGATTTGATGAAGCAGCGCACTCCTGGTAAAGAAGAATTTGCATTAGAAGAGGGTGATTCTTTATCATCCTCTTGTATGAATGAAACCCCCAATCTTACAAGTTTTGTTGAATCTTCTTTTTATAAGGACTTATTTGAAGAAACAAGAGAAATATCTTCTTTGAACAGTTTGGAAGAGAATATTTTAGACAGTCAGTCCAGTGCTAATATAGACGAAGCGCCTTGTCGCAGTCCCGTGGTAGACTGCATGACTAAGAGAACTGCTAGATCTGATCCCAACTGGAATATTGAAGAACTTGAGACACTTTGCCAAACTTATCAGATGTCACTGAAGGATCTTGAAGACAAATATCAAAGTCAAGAGATTATGAAAGATAAAGAGATTCAAGAGCTCAAGCAGCTCATAGGTTCTGAAAGGAAAGAGCTGGAATCTCTCAGAGAGCAGTATTTATCAGAAAACGAACAGTGGCAACAGAAACTGGCAAGCGTGACTGTGGAAATGGAGTCAAAGTTGGCAGCAGAAAAGAAACAGACTGAGTACTTATCACTTCAGCTTGAAGTAGCAAGACTTCAACTTCAAGGTCTTGATTTAAGTTCCCGCTCATTCCTTATTGCTGAAGGTGACGATGTAAGTATGTTCAACAAACTTACTTTCCTGTACCTTAGTTACTGATGTTCAAAGGAAAAAAGGCATTGTATTACATTAAATCTAGCATGATGTTGAAAGGTTTCCTAAATATTAAAATAAACCCAGTTAAATTCCTATATTACATAAAACTTGTCAATAAACTACATTACTACTTCAGGAAAACAAATTAATCTAATTCTTGGTTTTAGCAAATTACTACAGTGATTGGCATTATCACAACCATACTGTATGTGGAACTGTTGGTGGTGACTGCTTTTTAGCAATATTATAATGTTTGAACATGAACTTGAAGGAATGAATACATGTTATTCACCACTCATGAGGTAGTGATTGTATAGGCATATCCTGTCTAATATTGTTAATTGGTTCCATGACAATAAGTCTTGGATTTTAAGTGATGCAAATTATTTGGAGCTTAAAGGAGTTAATTCTTTTGGGGATCATTTGCTCGATCACATCGATAGTGATTACTTAATGTGTGTTCTAGTTGACTGGTTAAACATTGATTTCATTTTTATATTTTGTGTGAATTTGATTAAAAACTAAAGACATTTGTTAAATGATATTATTTAACAATGTTAGCAAGTATCTGTTTGATATAAATCTGACATGAAAATACAAAGTTATGTGATGGAGTTGACCCCTCTGACTTTTCAGGAAGAATGTTATATTTTAGAATTGCAGCAATTAAAAAAGTATTCCTTATAATTAGTACATGTGTTTGAAAACTTTTTGCCTGGTAGCTTACTATGACATATCTGATTTAGTTCTACCTGCTTAAAACACACCTTTGCTTCACCGAGCAATTATTCAGATATATTTTAATTTTTAGATACATTTTAATCATTCATTTTTGTTTCAAATAACTAAAATCTAAAAAAAAAAAAAAAAGCTAAACTACATTAATACTTACCAAATGAAAGATGAGTAGGTTGGAATTTACCTGCCATTTTTTTTTGGACAGGAAAAAGGAAGTTTTATATTTCTACTATTAATGTTTCAAACCTCCTACCCCAAAATATTTAACATAAATAGATTATAATTATCTACCTTAAATCAAAAATAACATTTAAAGTGATTGCTTTGACACTCCAAATGGAGAGTTAAGGACCAGTTTGGGAGGTGAGTAGGAGGAAAGTTGCATTTTAACCCTCTTTATTGTGGAAAAATATATCTGGAAATTAATTTCTAGTCTACTTCTACATTTCTTTGTGATAAATAAAATGTTTTCTTATTGGTGTTGTGTAATTACAGGCAATTAAGAATGACCAAGAAAACAGTGTCTCAGATAACTCAGAAGAACATATTTCATTCACTGATGAAAAGATAATTAAGAGTGACAGACTACACATTTGTGAAGAAAATGTTCAACAAACCTTAAATGTGGAGTGTGAGAAAATAGCTGAAATTGATGATGTTGGCTCTGCAGTAGTATATTCTAGGGAACTGAACTTAGAAAATGAACATGGAAATTCATCAGATAAAACCCCAAACAATTCAGAATGCATTAATGAATTATCATTTTCTAGTCATGATACTTCAGCAGCTATGGATTTCCTGGAGAATCAGGTGCTCATTCAGAATCTACAAATGCAGGTGAAAGAAACTTCAAAGGAAAACTTGAAGTTACTCTGTGGCATGGAGCAAAGTAATAAAAAAGTTGATAGATTGCTCAGTGAAATCAAAGAATTAGACTCCAAGCTGGATTTACAAAAAGCTGAATTAACTGCTAAGATATGTATGTGTTCAGAATTAGAAAAAGTCATTCAGGAACTTCAAAAAGAAAAATCAGACTTGAGTGAGAAATTGGAATCCTTCTCTTATGAAAATCAGCAATTACTTCAGAGTGTAACATCTTTGGAAAACTTAAATTCTGGTTCAAGACCATGCAAAATTATATTCACAGATACTCCAGATATTGAAGATAATCTAGGAATGGTGAATAAAGACTGGAAAGAACAATTTCTTGAAATTGAAAATGAATTGAGAAGGGTAAAATCTGAAAAGATTAACATTGAGAATCACGCCTTTTCCATTGAAGCTGACTTGGAATGTCTTCAAACAAAGAATCTCTGTTTAGAAAAAGATAATGATAATAAACAGAAAATGGTGTTGAATCTTGAAGAACAACTTTCTCTGGTTATATCTGAGAAAAACCACCTTAGTGGAGAACTAGACATTCTATTAAGGGAAAAAATGCAAGTAGAAGAAATATGTGAAAAATTGAAGGAAAAAATTGAAGTGTTTGAGTCAAATCAAAGGGAATCTCTGCAACATATAGAAATAATGGAGTCTCAGGTAAGAGACAAAACACAACTCCTTCAGACTATGTCATCTGATGTAAACCAACTAATAAAAGACAAAGATCATCTCCAAGAGCAGCTTCAAAGTGTAGAGAAGGATACACAGATGCTTAGTTTGGTAAAAGATGACTTGAAAAATGAAATTGGTCAATTGATCAATGAAAAAGAGCTTCTTATAAGAGAATCAGAAAACCTCAAAGCCAAATTGAATGAATCAGAAGCAGAAAATGTAAACCTTTCTAAGGTTTTAGAGAATTCTCTAATTGAAAAAGGTGAGATTGTAGCAAGATTGAATTCAACACAAGAAGAAGTACATCAGCTGAGAAGTGGCATAGAAAAACTAAAAATCCGCATAGAGGCTGATGAAAAGAAAAAACACTACATTTTAGAAAAGCTGAAGGAAAGTGAACGCAATGCTGACTCGTTTAAGGACAGAATTGAAGGACTTGAAAGAGAATTGCAGATGTCAGAAGAAAATCAAGAAGCAATGATTCTTGATGCTGAGAATGCAAAGTCTGAATTAGAAACACTGAAAACACAAATGGAAGAGTTAACGAAAGGCTTAAAATCTTCAGAATTGGAATTATTTGCCTTAAGATCAGAAAAAAATATCTTGAATGGATTACCAGAAAATCAATGTCAACAGTCTGAATTGGAAGGGTTGATGCAGACCATAAAATGTTTAGAAACAGAAGTTATTGCTTTAAGGACAGAAAAAGAAAATATATTGAAAGAGTTACAAGAAAAGCAAGGTCAGATGTCACAATTGGAACAGTTGGCCCAAAGCTTAAAATTTGTTGAAACTGAAGTTTTTTCTCTGATGTCAGAAGAAGAAAATGTAATGAAAGACATAAAAGGAAATAAAGGTCAAGTGTTTGAATTAGAAAAGTTGACTCAAACCTTAAATTGTTTAAAATCAGAACTTGTTGCTTTAAGGTCAGAAAAAGAAATTATTTTGAAAGAACTACAAGAAAAGGAAAATAGAGTGTCTGAATTAGAAGAGTTGACCCAGTCTCTAAAGTGTTTGGAAATTGAAGTTACTTCTTTAAGGTCAGAAAAAGAAAATATATCAAAGGAATTGCACAAAAAGCAGAGTCAAGTGTCTGAGTTAGAAGAATTGACTGAAATCTTAAGATGTGTAGAAGCTGAAGTTCTTTCCTTACGGTCAGAAAAAGACAATGTATTGAAAGAACTGCAAGAAAATCAAGATCAAGTATGTGAATTAAAAGAATTGACTGAAAGCTTCAAATGTGTAGAAACAGAAGTTGTTGCCTTAAGGTCAGAAAAAGAAAATATATTGAAAGAATTAAAAGGAAAGCAAGATCAAGTTTGCCAGTTAGAAGAGTCGATCAAAACCCTAAAATGTTTGGAAACAGAAGTTGTTTTCTTAAGGTCAGAAAAAGAAAATACACTGAGAGAATTACAAGAAAATCATTATCAAATCTTTGAATTAGGAGAATTAGTCCAAATGCTAAAATGCTTAGATTCTGAACTTATTAGTATAAGGTTAGAAAAAGAAAATATTTTGAAAAACTTACAAGAAAGACAAGATCGAGTGTCAGAATTAGAAGAGCTGATCAGCAGCTTTAAATGTTTGGAAACTGAAGTTGTTTCCTTAAGGTCAGAAAAAGAAAAAATGTCAAAGGAGTTACAAGAAAAGCAGAGTCAAGTATCTGAATTGGAAGGGTTGACCATAAACCTAAAATACTTGGAAACTGAAATTGCTTCTTTTAAGTCAGAAAAAGATAATATGTTGAAGGAACTACAGGAAAAGCAGGATCGAATATGTGAATTAGAAGAAATGACCAGAAGCCTAAAATGTTTTGAAACTGAACTTATTTCCTTAAGGTCGGAAAAAGAAAACCTGTCAAGGGAGTTACAGGAAAAGCAGAGTCAAGTGTCTGAATTAGAAGAATTTACCAAAAGTCTAAAATGCTTGGAATCTGAAGTTGCTTCTTTAAAATCAGAAAAAGACAATATGTTGAAGGAACTGCAAGAAAAACATGATCAGATTTGTGAATTAGAAGAAATGAACATAAGCCTAAAATGTTTGGAAACTGAAGTTGTTTCCTTAAGGTTAGCAAAAGAAAGCATGTCAAAGGAGTTAAAAGAAAAGCAGAGTCAAGTGACTGAATTAGAACAGTTGACCCAAAGTCTAAAGAGTTTGGAAACTGAATTTGCTTCTCTAACATCAGAAAAAGAAGATCTGTTGAAGCAGCTGTGTGAATTAAAAGAGTCAACTAAAAACCTAAAATGTTTGGAAAATGAAGTTGTTTCTTTATCATCAGAAAAAGAACACATTTTGAAAAAACTACAAGAAAAGCAGGGTCAAGCGTCTGATTTAGAAGAGTTGACCAAAAGTCTAAAGTCTCTGGAACCTGAAGTTGCTTCTTTAAGGTCAGAAAAGGAAAACATATTGAAGGAGCTACAAGAAAAACAAGGTCGCATTTGTGAATTAGAAGAGATGACCATAAACTTAAAATGTTTGGAACCTGAAGTTGCTGCTTTAAGGTTAGAAAAAGAAACAGTGTTGAAAGATTTACAAGAAAAGCAGGATCAAATTTGTGAATTAGAAGAAATGAACATAAACCTAAAATGTTTGGAAACTGAAGTTGTTTCCTTAAGATTAGCAAAAGAAAAAATGTCAAAGGAGTTAAAAGAAAAGCAGAGTCAAGTGTCTGAATTAGAACAGCTGACCAAAAGTCTAAAGAGTTTAGAAACTGAATTTGCTTCTCTAACATTAGAAAAAGAAAATCTGTTGAAGCAGCTGTGTGAATTAGAAGAGTCAACTAAAAACCTAAAATGTTTGGAAAATGAAGTTGTTTCTTTATCATCAGAAAAAGAACACATTTTGAAAGAACTACAAGAAAAGCAGGGTCAAGTGTCTGGTTTAGAAGAGTTGACCAAAAGTCTAAAGTTTTTGGAACCTGAAGTTGCTTCTTTAAGGTCAGAAAAAGTAAACATGTTAAAGGAGTTGCAAGAAAAACAAGATCACATTTGTGAATTAGAAGAGATGACCATAAACCTAAAATGTTTGGAACCTGAAGTTGCTTCTTTAAGGTCAGAAAAGGAAAACATATTGAAGGAGCTACAAGAAAAACAAGGTCGCATTTGTGAATTAGAAGAGATGACCATAAGCTTAAAATGTTTGGAACCTGAAGTTGCAGCTTTAAGATTAGAAAAAGAAAAAATGTTGAAAGATTTACAAGAAAAGCAGGATCAAATTTGTGAATTAGAAGAAATGAACATAAACCTAAAATGTTTGGAAACTGAAGTTGTTTCTTTAAGGTTAGCAAAAGAAAACATATCAAAGGAGTTAAAAGAAAAGCAGGGTCAAGTGGCTGAATTAGAACAGTTGATCAAAAGTCTAAAGTGCTTGGAATCTGAAGTTGCTTCTCTAACATCAGAAAAAGAAAATCTGTTGAAGCAGCTGTGTGAATTAGAAGAGTCAACTAAAAACCTAAAATGTTTGGAAAATGAAGTTGTTTCCTTGTCATCAGAAAAAGAACACATTTTGAAAGAACTGCAAGAAAAGCAGGGTCAAGTGTCTGATTTAGAAGAGTTGACCAAAAGTCTAAAGTCTTTGGAACCTGAAGTTGCTTCTTTAAGGTCAGAAAAGGAAAACATGTTGAAGGAGCTACAAGAAAAACAAAGTCACATTTGTGAATTAGAAGAGATGACCACGAGTCTAAAATGTTTAGAAACTGAAATTGCTTCTTTAAGGTCTGAAAACAAAGACATGTTAAAGGAGTTGCAAGAAAAGCAGGGTCAAACGTCTGAATTGGAAGAGATGACCAGAAAGCTAAAGTCCTTGGAAACCAAATTTACTTCTTTAACATCAGAAAAAGAAAACATGTTAAAGCAATTGTGTGAATTAGAAGATTTGAACAAAAACCTAAAATGTTTGGAAACTGAAGTTGTTTCCTTATCATCAGAAAAAGAAAACATTTTGAAAGAACTACAAGAAAAGCAGGGTCAAGTGGCAGAACTGAAAATGTTAAATGTTTCATTTGAAAGCCTACTGGAAGAAAAAGAAGAAGAAAAGAGAAGATCTAAAGAAGAATCTAACCACACAATCGAATTGCTTCAAAAACAGTTGAATGATCTAAATGAGAAAATAGAATCCTTACATAAAGAGCATAACATATGTAAGGTCAGTGAGCAGGATCTAAATTGTCAAGTGGATTCTCTAAAGAATGAGAAAGTTCATTTGCTGCAGCAGCTTGAAGAGAACAAAAATAATAATGCTGTGCTGAAATCTTCTATAAATGAAGTTACTCAAGAAATGGAAAACAACAAACAAAAATTAGAGAAGGCAATGGAAGAAAGCAGAATACTTCAAAAAGAAGTTGGAGACCTCAGAAAGCTCTCCTCTGCATTGACCCAGATGGAGGTGGAGCAGCAACTGCTGGAGAAAGAAAAATCACGGCTGGAAAATCTTACAGCAGAATTACAACAAAAGATCCAAGAACTATCCAAGAATGAGACTTTGTATGACAGTTTGGAAGCTCTGCAAAGTTCTTATACCAATCTGGAGAATGAGCTTGAGTTGACAAAGAGGGAAAACTCCTCTCTTCTTGAAAAGGTAAATTATGAAAAAGTGAACTGTGCTGTTTGCAGCTTTGTAGATGCTATATTTCATAAGATTTTTTGAGCAAATACTTTGAAAGTCTTTAAATACTATATAAATATTGCTGTTATTTTGAATAATAATTAGTGGAAAGATAGTCTTGGAATTTCCAAATTGCAAACTAGTATATATAGTTTAAAAATTTTGTTTAGACCTTGGATTACATTGGTGTAGGGAGCTCCCAATATGGAAATGTCTACCTTTTTGCAACTTGTAGTCTTAGAGGGTTTCCAGGGGCTACTGAAAGGTTAAGTGATTTGCCCAGGTTAATGTAATCAATATATATATATCTATATCTATATATCTATATATCAGAGGTAAGACTTATTAGTCATCCTGACTGCCCTGCCATCTATCTACTACCTTGCTGTCTCATGTTCATAATATAGATCATCACGATACTGTGATCCACATTCATATGTTTTCCAAGTATGAGGGGCTGGAGAGCTATTGAGGATTATGGGTGTTATCTTCTCTTGATGTCTAGTAATATCTACTGTTGACGTCTACCAGAATTATGGTAAAATGTAAATTAACCAGAACACTTGATGCATTATTTTGCTTTCTAGACAACTAATATCAGATATATATTTTAGTAGCATGGTATTTGCTCAGTCTATTATACCTTCTGCTTTCACAAAATTTTGTCATAAAAATTAATGTTCAGAATGAGGACCTTGGGTTCATGATCTTTAATCATCTAAGAAACATTATGTTCAATATATTTTTATTATTAAAGCAAGAAAGGAGGTTGATTATATTTACATAGAGATTTATTTCCAGCCTTATTCCCTTTCATGCTTTCTGTGTTTTTAGCCAGACCGAACTGTTTCCAGATAGATTCCTATTTGTGTCTATCCTTGCATTCATTCTTTTGTGCCTGGAACAGATTTCCTTTGTATTTTTACCTGTTGAACTCTTACTTCGATGTTCAACTCTGTGTTAGCACTTCCATAATAAAACTTTTGTCATTGTGACCTTTCCCTCCCAATTCCCTTCTACCACATATACCCCTTTGCTGGAGGCAGCTGGTGGTAGAGTCCTGGGACTGGAGTCAGGAAGACCTGAGATCAAATTTGGCCTTAGATGCTAGTTATGTGACCTTGGGCACAGTCACTTAACCTCTGTTTGCCTCAGTTGTATGGTAAATTGAATATCATCTACTTCTTAGAGTTGTGAGGATTACATGAAATAATATTTGTAAAAAGCCCTTAACATAGTGGCTGGCATGTAATAGGAGTTATATAAATATATTCTTTTTCTTTCTTTCCCCCTTGCTGGAAGTATTCCTTACCTCCTTATATTTTTAATAGTGTTTTTCCTTTTAATCTCCCCTTACTCTTTTTACATTCTCCTTTACAACCTACTTTCTTGTGTAAATGTTTCTTTGACCCCCTAAAATATTGTAAAGTACTTGAAAACAAGGCAATATTATTTTTCATTTTTATATTATCAGTGACTAACACAGTGCCATGGATGTATAGTAGACATATAATGGTTTTTCCCCCCTTAATAGCAAGGGTTAAAACACAAAACAGTAAATCAGAAAATTTACTTATGCAGAATAGTCCTTTTTATTAAAGTACTTTGGGGCTTTTCTGTACTGTTAGCCTTAGAGAGCTGTTGCTTTAGAGATGATTAAACTCTTTCATCTTAAAGCTGTGTGTACATAAAAGTAGCACTCTTATAGGTTCTAGCAAGGATGCTTCTTTTAGATAGCATATAATGGGGATTAGCAATGAATCTAGACCTCATCTAATCCAAAAACCTGTTTCATACAGTGTTTTTCTTATCCTTTTCCTGAATGTTGCTTAGGTTTTAATTCGTAATAGTATATTTGTGAAGGATTTGAAGACTTGGTATCCTTTGACATATCTCTCTCTGTTGTTTTCTGTTAAATCTTCACTGCAAAGGAAAGAATGCTTTCGTGGGTATTGAAAATTATTAGGATGGTTTAATGAGGTGAGAATTTATCAAGTTACATTGTATTTTGAAGGCTAAAGTAATTATCCAGAATATGTTGTAGAGAAGTAGTTAATTTGGTTAAAAATCCACATGCCATCTAAGCAATATTTGGGAGATTAATAAAAAATTCTATTTCAGATAAATAAAGTGGCAGATAATGAAGCTCTGCTAAAGAAGGAGATGAATGAGGTGATGCAAAAGATGACAGTGTTGCAAGAAGAATATACTGGAGAGAAGAACAGGCTTAATGATTATGTAAAAAGTAGAGAAGCAGAAGCAGAGAAGAGGAAAGTAAGTTGCTCTCTGAAATAGTGACTACGTTTAAGTGATTTCAAATTAATAAAGCCACCTTTGTTATTTAGGAGGCCTTGTATGATAATATGAAATATCTTTGAAACCTTTGCTTTCAAATACAGTGATACCCAATCCATCTAGTGATCAGACTTCATCTTTTCCTTTTAAAAAAATGGAGGTAATGTAATGGTATCTCTCAGATCTACTTAAAAGAGTTCTTGTGAGGCTCAAATGAGGTAATGAGTATGAAGTGCTTTGTAAACCTTAATGCTGTGGATAAATATCATCTACTGAGTGGCTGTTATTTTTATTATTTGTTATTCATCCCTTCTAGAAGGCTACAAGAAGTCAGTGGAAGAAGGCTTAGGAATAGCCAAATAAGTGTTTAGAAGAGCGTGCATGAAATAAAGCCCAGTATTTCTTAGAGGACTCTTGATTGATGAGAAACTTTATTTTTCACACAATTCTAATAATCAATTAGCAAGTTTCTCTGCTTAATTCAGGTTAAAATAGCTGGAGTACTATGAGGGGTAGATACAAAGATCACTGACAGTGAAGGAGAAAAAGACATCTATGAAAGTGTCTCTTTCTAAGAGTTATTTATTTTAGGGGCAAGTAGCTATACATGCTCCAGCTTCTAAGAGCAGTCTTATTCTGATGTTTATAATGACCTTGAGTCATCAAGAAAAGTTTAAAATTATATTTAGACAAGTATATAAAACATTTTAATGTAGGCTTTCATTTTAAAATGTTTGAGAATTAAAACGTATTAAGGTTATCTCAGAAGTTTCCTTATGTGGGGCCAATAATTCTCTGACAATGTCAAGTTCCTGCAAAAGAGAGACACAATTTGAAAGGAAGTTGAATTAGCTTTTCAGTTTACTAAGTTCACTGAAGTTTCTAAACTTTGGACATATTAGTATATATTATTATTATTTCAGTTATTCAAAGCCACTTAGAAGAAATAACTAAGATGTTAAGGTAGATGATGAACATTAAATTGAAGAAAATGATCCATGGCTCACTAATATAGTCATATTGTTTTCATGTTTATTTAGCTAACAGCTTCCTCTGGTACATACTTAAAATAATGTAAAAATATTGTGTTGTGATATATTAATTGACATGGAATACTAATTCAGGTTTAAAATCATTTTTAAAAAATTATAACTATAACATACTATTTTATTCTGTTTATGTTCCTAGATAATTTTTTTCCCTTCAGAAATTAACATTTCATGGGCATTTACTCATGTTTTTTCATTTTTTAAAAAAGGAAAATAAAAATTTTTATCAAAAAATGATAAAATTGTTCAAACATCATTTTTGCATTTAGATACAACTGGATGAGCTAATCCTGGAAAAGTGTGAACTGAAGAAGAGTTTGGATTGTGTGCAAAAAGAGCTGAAGGAAAGAGAAGAGAAAGCAAGAAATGAAATATCAGATTATCAGTGTAGGCTTCAGGATGCCAATAAGAAATATGAAGTTTTACTCAAGGAAGCAAACAAAAAGGTAAAAAGCTCCATTTAGGGGGATGTGACACATGTACAGAGAACTGTGGCCTAACCCCTTCTGAGATGATAGAGTGCTGCTATTGCTTTCTATTATAGTTTTCTGTGGAAGTTATAGAGAGACAGATTTTAGTCCTGTGTAGGAAAAAACTTCCTTATAATCAAAGCTGTCTAAAAATGAAGTGGATTGTTCACTTTGCTTATTATAGGTCTCCAGTTAAACCTGGATAGCTACTTGTTTTTGTTTTTTACTTTAATTTTATCATTTTTCCAGCTAACATTTGTATAGTTAAGTAGTACTGGCCAAGACCAAAAAAATGTGTATTTTAACTCAAGTGTTTTAACTTCACCATCTCTGACAGGAGCTGGCTTGGGTGCTTCATCTTTGTTCTTGTGGAATTGTGGTTTGTCTTTACATTGATCAGAGTTCTAAAGCCTTTTCAAGTTGTTTTAAAAAAATAGTATAGTAATTGTATAAGTTGTTATTCCCTCAGTTCTCACTTCACTCTCTATTATATTAGTTCATAGGAACCTTCCCAGTTTCCTCTGAAAATGTCTTATGTCATCACTCTTATAGTGCAATAAGAGTACGTTCACAGAATATAGTTTGTTTAGTTCGTCTTCGAAAGATCGGCACGCCCCCTTAATTTCCAGTTTTTGCTGCTGTAAAAAGAACTGCTGTAAATGTTTGTGTATGTGGGGGTCCTTTTCCACTTTCTTTGATCTCTTTGGGGTGTATGCCTAGTAGTGGTATAACTGAGTCAAAGGGTAGTGACTTTGGGGACATAGTTCTTAATTGCTTTCTGGAGTGGCTTTAACAACTGCTTCATGAGTGGGTCGTTAGTGCGCTTGTTTTACTGTAGCTGCACCAACATTTGTCATTTTCCTTTGTTGTCATCTTTGCCACTCTGATGGGTGTGAGATAGAATCTGAGTTGCTTTAATTTTAATTTATCTAATTATTCGTAATTTGGAGCATTTTTTTTCACATGGCTTTAATTTCTTCCCTTGAGAACTGCCTGTTCACATTTTTTGACTTTGGTAAATGTCCTTCATTTGTTTTGTTTCTTGGTTATGAAGAGCTGCGGCAGATAAACTTGCTACAAAGGTATTTTCCCTGTTATTTCTCTTCTAACTGCTTTTATTTATGCAAAACCTTTTAAATTTATGTAATAAATTTAATATCTTTTAAAGATTAATATCCATTAAAAGATAAAATATAAATTTTTTTTAAGCGAGGCAGTTGGGGTTAAGTGACTTACCCAAGGTCACACAGCTAGAACGTGTCAAGTGTTTGGTCTGAGGCCGGATTTGAACTCAGGTCCTCCTGACTTCAGGGCGCCACCTAGCTGCCCCCCAAAATATTAATTTTATCTTTTGTGATCCTTTTTATTTCTTTTATTATGGTTTCTTCCCTTATCCATAGATTGAAAAGGTAATTTCTTTTTCATTCCATTCCTCTTATTTACTTATAACCATTTAATTCATCTCCCCATTCAAGTTACTATATATGTGGTGAGATGTTGATCTATACTAGATTTTTGACAGACTGCTTTCCAGTTTTCTCAACAGTTTTTGTCAGATGAATCCTCAACTTGGTAACTGAAATCTTTGGATTTACCACATTCCGCCTACTGTATTTCCTTCTGTTATGTTGCATACTTAATTTGTCCCATGGATTGATTTATCTATTTTTTAACCAGTAGCAAATCATTTTGATGCTTTATGCTTTTTTTTTTTTTTGCTGAGAGACCTCATGTCACTGAAAACTAGTCATCCAGTATAAAATATACATAAATCATCAGCATTCCTGTAAGAGAAATTTTATATTATTTACAGAATTTACAAAAATATGTGGGCATATCAACCACTACATACATAGGAACTATATGAATTCAACTATAAAATACTCTTTAGAGAAATAAAGACAGACCCAAATAATTGAAGAAAGACTAAATGCTTTTAGGTAGTTCAGGATATATAGGTAGTTCAGTGATATATAAGCACATCATGTGAATATTCATATACATGAATTTATGAATAAACGGTGACTGTAGAGCTGTGTTAAAATCTTTGTGATAATCAACAAAGGAAGTATATTCTACTTTCTGGCAGTTTTATTCAATAACTATTGAGTTAACAAATTTATTTTTGTACCTTTGGAGCTTTGTGGCATCTCCCTGTTACCTTTAAGTTTACTCTTAAATGGCAGAGTCTCTTGCCCTTTCAAAGGTACAGGTTGCCCTAGATGATCTCTGAGGTGCCTTTAATCTCTAAATCGATGGTCCAGTTATGACTTTTTTTTTTTTTGGATCAGAACTGTGATTTCAATGGTGTAGGTAACCAAGGGATTTTCTTAACCAAGGTAGATTGTCAACTTCTCTTCAAAGTGTAGTCTTAGAGAATATCCTGAAAGGTTAATTGATTTGCCCAAGGTCACACAGCCATTGTGAGTTGGAAGTGGAACTTGTTAAGGCTTTCCTAACTCTGAGTGAAGTTTCTAACCACTATGCTGCACTGCCTCTCTTAGGATGTATATTTACTGATAAAATTTGAGTCCAGAGGACTGAAGATGATATATACTAGTCATCTCCTGACAGAGAAGTGATGGTCTTAAAAAGTAGAATAAGACATATGTTTTTGGATGTGGACAATGTGAGAATTTGTATAACCATTTTGTGTATGTGTGTGTGTGTGTATATATATATATATATACACACACACACATACACACATATATGTATGTATGTGTATATATGTTAAAGGGGTTTTCTTTTTTTCTTTTTAATTTAATAGGGAAGTGAGAGATTCTCAATGTTTGTACATATATATGTATATATTTTAGACATCTCTACCACAATATAGTGATAAATATTAATTTGTTGAGCAAAAAAAATGATGTACATTTGCCTATTTACTGAGTGGGTCCTGAGGTAGAATTTTCTACCTTCACTGTAGAAAGTATAATTGCCCAGAATTCCAGGTCATGAAATGTTTTGTTTTTACTGAGATTTTATGTAAACTTGCTCTGCTGAGCTACTTGACCAATACTATATTTTGTCTTTCTTAGTATCAAATGGAAATTGAAGCATATCAAGAGAAACTGATTTGTAAAGAACAAGATCTCAGTTCACACAAGTCAGAGATGGAGATTTTAAAGTCCAATAAAGAAGAATTAACTAGTTCTCTGGAATCTACTAGTAAGATATTAGAAGAATTGAAGAAAACCAAGGTATTTTCCATGATAATGTTCAGCCCATATTAAGGCATATATTAGGGGCATTAATGATATAGTGACACTAATGAGTATTTGGTTTACATTGAATTTACAGAGTAGAAGTTTAAATGTTTCCCCGCTTTTCGCTTAACTTTATAATAACTCATACTCAGAGATGCTACTGTTGAAGTCACAGGTTGTATTGCTGAAGAGACTGATAAATGATTAGCTATCTTTTCCAAATTGTGCATATATAAACATGTGTTTTGACTGCCTTTCTCCCTGAGTTCTGTTGAAAGGGGATTAAGGAGTTGTGGAGATGAATGTGAAGGTAATGGACAGAGCTTCCTGATCAGTTGCATGTGATATACCAGTAAATCTCATGACCTTATTGCTAATCCTATTACTAAATCAGTTCCTTCAGTTTCATCTTAGGTGTTTGTGGCTTATATGGAGATAACCAGGTCAGTATCTTGTACTTTCAGCTCTTTCATATATGTGTATATATATATATATATATATGGTCCCATCATAAGACAGTGGATAAGGTCATATAATCCTAACATAAGGATTTTTTTATTGTGAAAAATTTATTATAGTAAATGATTCAGTAATCCCTCACTTTTGGAGAGAAGGCTATTGTGAATTGGTTAAGTGGCAGAATTGAATATTTAAAAAAAATTCTTGAAATTTCAGATGTATAAGAACTTAAACCAGAATAATGAAGTATTTGTTTTCTTAAATAGGTTTTTGCGTGCGTGTCTCTCTGTGTGTAAGAGTGAGGCAATTGGGGTTAAGTGACTTGCCCAGGGTCACACAGCTAGTAAGTGTCAAGTGTTTGAGGCTGGATTTGAACCCAGGTCCTTTTGACCCCAAGGCCGGAGCTCTATCCATTGCACCACCTAGCTGCCCCAAAAATGTTTTAAACACTACCTAATTTCAAAGCTAGAAAAGGACCTCACAGGTCATTTTAATCCTTAATTGAGTAAGAATATTTTCTTAGTGCATTCTTGACAAGTTGTCATCCAGTTTCTTTTTGAATAATTACACTTTCATATAGCTTTAAATTTGGGAAAGTTTTTCCTGCTTATTGTTCCTGATTCATGATAACACTATTATTTGGCTTTAAAATACTTAAAAACTCATTACCCATCAGTATGAGTCTTCCATATTCTAATACTCCCACTCCTTAGTATATGGTTTTGAGTTGTGGCCCAATGCAGTTACTTTAGATAGACCATTTGATCCAGATCCTTGTGGTAGAGATTTGCTAGACCCCAGGTTTTTATCCTTTCTTCTACTGGTAGTTCAGTACCTGGCTCAGTGTTCTTTTCCATTCCAACTCGTGCCCTTGTGACAAAAGAGTCAAGGTAACATCTCTTTCTTCACTCCTTACCTATCCCCTCTAACAATTTTCTTGGATTTATAACTGTAAGTTTCATTCAAGAGTCATATATGTTATACAGTTAGTCCAGTTGTAAATATTTGATTTATGTCAAAGGATCATAGATTTAGAGCTGGAAAGGATTGTGGAGGTCATCCAGTCATCTAGAACTAAAGGAACACTACTTAAAACTTGTATATATTGTTCTAGCTATTAAATACACCTAAAATGGCATCCTGTTTATAATTCTAGGTGGCAAAATGTTTAGACTTGTGCTGAAGAATCATTTGGAAAAGTCTCCTAGTGTGTTTTTTGGATTCTTAGATTTGAACAAAAACTAGTCTTTAAAAGTACAAGATGTCATTATTCTTGGTGCTTTGTACCATTGGTGAGGTAGCATGGTGGCATACACTGTACAGCATAGAAGGTGAACTGGGTGCGAGTGGTGAGACCCAGCTTTGAAGCCTTAGTCATACAAATGATAGTATGCTCTCATTCAACTCACTTAACTGTTAGACTTCAGTTTCCCTGCCTTAAATGAGTGATGATACTGTCTGTTTGGGGTACCTATCTCACAGTGCTGTTGTAAAGGGAGCAATTTGCAAACCATAAAATGTGAGTTTTCGTTATTGTTGGAATCCCTTTCTGTGTGTACAGAGACATTATTTAAGTGTATAAGGTTTTAACTAGAAGTGCGTTTGTTTTGTAGGCTGATAATATAAAATATGTAACTCAGTTGAAGAAGGAGAATGAAAATGCTAGAGGAAAAATACAGTTGCTGATCAAAACCTGTAAACAGCTGGAGAATGAAAAGGAAGCATTACAGAAAGAAATTGCTGGCCTTGAAGCTCTGCAAGAGAACCAGAAACAAAGTAGGCATTAATTAGAGGAATAATAACCAGAATTCTTTTTCAACAGGCAATGCTCTTACTTTTGAAACATGGTATTATTTGAGACACATGTCCCTTTGAGGTGTTATTCAATGATACAATAATTCATGTTCTTCTAAATTTGTTTTCAAATTTGGTGTCAATTAAGAGGGAACCACATTTTTCACATTGTAATAACTATGACCTTCAGATTTAACAAACATTTACTGAGGCTTCGATTTGTGCAACCGTTGTACTAGGAAACAAGGATGAAAAGCCACATCCTGCCTGCCTTTTAAGGAGCTTTCAGCCTACTGGGGGGAATATGGCATGTTTTATATACATAAATAGGAATGTATGATGCACGGTAGAGAGTGATGAATGAGTAAGATAAGGGTTTATACAAAATGTTATAAGAAAATTTGAGGAGAGAATCTTCTCATCAAGGGAGACTACCTTAAGGGACGAAGATTTCAGCATGTAAACATGTAGAAGTGAATAAGAAGTATTTTCCAGGTATGAAAGACCACCTACCCAAATACACAGAGAGCAGACTAAGGTATATGTTGGAAGGAGTAAACTTAGTAGCCTTGTTAGCCTGGAATGTAGAGTTCATGAAGGGAGGGACTGTGATTTGGTACTGAAAAGTGAGGTTGGTTCCAAATTATTTGGGCCTTAAATAACAAGGCTAAATTATTTGTTGGTAACTGCAGAAGATGTTTGAGAATGAGAGTAATGTGGTCAGACCTGTGCCCAGGGAAAATTACTTTGCAAATAATACAGGTAGATTAAAGGAGGTGAGATTGCAGGCAGAGAGACCATTGAGGAAAGGGGCAAGTGAGACTAATGACAGGTGACGAATAGCACTTGGAGTAAAGAGGAGGACGGCAATACATATAACATATCATGGAGAATTGATAGGAAGTGGCTACTGTGTGGGCATGTGGCTGAAGTTTAGACACAAGGAGCTGGGAGAGATAAAGGACCAAAGTCTAAAGGAATAAGTACATCAAAGTGTGGAAGGAGTGAATAGATAAAGGCTTATCTTACACTTAATGACAAGATTAGAATCACTCACTGTGGATAGTTTGCCTTCTCCTAAAACATTCACATAGCTGTGCATACATAAATCCATGGTCACTGGAGAATGTATTCCTTAGCACTTCACTGAGCTAACAGGCCACAGGAAGGAGAGAGAGAGAGAGAGTGAGAGTGTGTGTGTGTGTGTGTGTGAGAGTGTGTGTGTGTGTGTGTGTGTGTTGATAAAATATTTAGGGTAGGCCTATTTTACCTACTATTGAAACAGTCGGGACGGTTTGTTCATCGTCTTTTGATCATTTCATTGCTCATTATTACTGTTAGCAGAAGTGTGGATAGAGAAAGTAGGAAGTGAAATTCAGACTCATTAATTTGGCTTTGTAAGTACCTCTGGGGAAAAAATATTTGCTAGGAGTTGAGGCTAGTTTGTTCAGCCAAGATCATATGTTGAGTTAGCTATGGGTCAAACTTAATCAGGCCATTATGTTTACATTTTCAAGCATAATTAGGGGTTTGACTGATCTGTATTAATATTCTAATAGTTTTAATTTTCTCCTAAGGTTACCTGTTTAAATATTAGTGATTTATGTTAACAATTAGAACCTCTTCAATTACTGAACTATGATATGACATTTCCTTTTAAATAGATAATGCCTCGGATGTTAATGTAGAAGAACTGATAGCTGAGGTGAAAGAACTGAAAGAAACTATTGAAGAAAAAAATAAAGAGACAGATGAATACTTGGATAAGTATTGTAACCTTCTTGTTAGTTATGAAAAGCTGGAAAAAACTAAAGATATGTTAGAAGCCCAGGTTACTTTCCTGAGTTCTCTGCAAGGAAAACTTACCTCTCAGACTTCTCCTTTGCTAAACTCAATTGATTCAATACACTCTCCAAGTCATCCTGTTACTGAAAAGAAGACATTAGCCAGTCAAAATAAAGTTTCAAGCAAGAGACGAAGGTCTTGTGGTGCCAAAGTAAGTGATGGAGAGTCAGTGCCTTCTACACCAGAGACTTTTACTAAAAGGATCAAAAAAGGAGTGACACCAAAAGGTGCTGCATGCTTCTCAACAGGCTTGGAGAACACTGAATATGAGCCAGAAGGACTACCAGAAGTGGTGAAGAAAGGTAACTATTTCTGAAATAACTTCTTTCCCTAATCCCCCCACCCCTTTTCCTAATGTGTGAAATAAAATCCTGTCTCTGACAGAAGTATATAGTCCTAGAGCATTTGTGGATATTATTATATAATTTGGCCTTTATGACTTGCAAGTGATCATTTAAATTGGTCTATACTCTTTTCCTCCCTCTTTTTTGTGATAGCTAAAACTTCATGCCAGAGTACAAGAAAAGGTGGGTTGATTTGAATAACTAAACAAAAATAGTGCTTTGGATTAAAAAGCTACAGATTTTAATTTCCTCTTGAATTTCAGTTCCAGTGACTCTCCCATAAGCCCTAGTAACTCAGTGATATCTTGATTACCTGTCATTTAGAAACTAGGTGTGCCAGTGTGACAGTACTGGTGATATCCCCACCTAATATCCCTACTATGCGTTTTATATTCTCTTTTGTTTTTGCCCTAGGTATAAGTCATAAATAGCTTATCCTATGAAGTATCTGTCAAAGAACAGGAAGTACCTTTAAAAAAAATTAAAAATAACTCCATCATTGTGGTCAAATGGCCAAGAGAAAACTGGTCATTTTAGCTGAAAGTCCTAAATACGGCTTTCAGTTCATCAGTAACTATTTAGTGCCTGCTGTGTACCAGGTACATAGGTATTGGGGATACAAAGACAAAAGTGACAGTTCCTGTCCTTAAAGAGCTTACATTCTATATACAGTAGACAGGTGATTTGGGAGCAGGAGGAGATTCATGGAGAAGGTGGCTCTTAAGATGAGCCTTGAAGGAAAAAGGCATTCTGATAGATGGTAGTGATAGACTGCATTTCAGGCATGGGCTATGAGGACTGAGAAAGAAGGCCATTTTGGCTGTTGTCTGTGGCATAGTTAGAGGCCTTAACTTTTTTTTTTTTAAAGATGCAACTTAAGCACCACCTTCTAAAACAATGACTATTTAATTCCAACTCTCTCCAACTTCTCTTGCCCCTTTCCCCACTAACTGCCTTGTATTTACTCTGAATGTAGTTATTATGTGTGTGTGTGTACACACATATATTGGCACTCCAATTAATAGATAAGCTCCTTGAAGACAGGGAGCATTTCATCCCTCGTGTTTGTATCTCTAGTGTATAGCACAGTTCTGGTTGTTTGTTTTGTTTGTTTTTTCATTGATTTATGTCAGTTTTATTCTGGTTTTGCTTTCTTCACTGTACATTAGTTCATACAAAGTCTTCTAATATTTCTTCATTTTCCTGGTATTCATTGATCCTTTTGAAAATTATTCATTGATTTTTAGTAACATGATCATATTTTATTACACTGACATGCCACAATTTGTTCAGCCATTCCACAGTGGATGGGCACCCGCTTTGTTTCCAGCTTTTTGGTGCCACAAAATGTGCTGCTTTGAATATTTTGTTGTACATGGTACCTTTGTATTATTAACCTCCTCCAGGTTTATGCTCAGTGGTGTGAGAATTAGGTCAGAGGTTACCAGCTTGTTTATTGGAGGTAGTCAATGCTACAGTCTCGAGGTGGGGTGAGGGGGTGCGCGCTTGAGTTTGTGGCTTTTGTTCATCTTCTACCCACAAATAATGGGTTCTACTCTTTCTTTTTCCTCTAGTTCTCCTACTTTTCACTATTTTCTTTCTTCCCTGACTGTACCTTAAATCTCACGTTTGGCATTGGCTAATAAAGAAATAGAGCAAATCATCCACAGAATTGGTTGTGACTCAGTTGGTGATTTTTACCTCGTTCCTTGTCAGAATCTTCACGTACACATGCATGTGCACTCACACAACCCGTGCATAATCTTTTTAGTTCTTTGTGAAGGAACGTCTTACTTGAGGAATTCTAAGAAAAGTCCCTCTAGATCAGAATGCCTGTGCTGTGTTCTATGGCCAGTGTGAAATGTTCATGAAAATTACCTTTTTCTAAAAACTAAACTTTATTTCCTTTCTGTAGATGAATATTATCTTCAACTCTAGATTAGAATAAGCCTTATAATTTCTATCTCATCAAAGCTAGCTATATTTTAAAAACAAACCAATTTGTGTCACAGGATTTGCTGACATCCCCACTGGAAAAACAAGCCCTTATGTCCTTCGGAGAACAACCCTGGCCACGAGGGCCAGCTCCCGTCTTGCTGCACAGAAGTTATCACCTTCTCTGAATCTACAGAAAGGGCAGTTGGAAAATCTTGCTGAGACCTCCAAACCAACAGCTGGTGGCAGCAAATCACAAAAGGTAACTAACTGCTGTGCACACGGATCTTGTCTGAAATCACAGGAGAATCTGACACTCTGCTGTCCAGCTCCTATGTTTATTGGCTTTTAATGTCTGATCTTTCCTATGGTATGGTGAACCTATGGTATGGTGTAAATAAATCACTATAGATAAGCCCGGTGAAAATGCCTAATGAAAAACATGGCACTGTTGTTATTGTACAGACAAATTTTTCACCATAAAGGACACTGCAGTGTTATGTGTAATGTAATGTGTAATAAGAAATAACATTACCTCAAACTCCCAGAGGAGATGGTGAGAAAAAGATTTCTAAGTTAGTAATGAGGACTTTGGGGCAGCTAGGTGGCACAGTGGATAGAGTACTGGGCCTGGAGTCAGGAAGACCTGAGTTCAAATCTAGCCTCAGACACTTACTAGCTATGTGACCCTGGACAAATCAATTAACCAACCTTCTTTGCCTCAGTTTCCTCACCTGGAAAATGAGCTGGAGAAGGAAATAGCAAATCATCTCAGTATCTTTGACAAGAAAACCCCAAATAGGATCATGAGGAGTCGGACACGACTTAAAAAAACTGAACAACAATGAGGGCTTTGAGGTGGTGTCTTTTCCCTTTGTTCCCAGACACTGATAGTTTCCTTATTCAAGGCTGTGTTGTTTTTACTTCAGTGTTTTTCAGTACTCTAAACACCACTTTAATTGAACCAACAAGTCTCCTGACTAGGAGGAAATAGTGATTGTCCTCATTGAGGTACTTGCAGAAGGTTGTAAACATTTGAATTCTAGCAGAAAAAACACATTATAGGTAAAGGTATTAAGCATAGTCTGCATTTTTCATGTTCACAAATCAGTATACATATTTTTTCATGTGGCCTTTAAATTTGTCATGTTAAGTCATAGCAGAAAGTGAAATTTTCACCATAGTCTAACAGAATGAAAGCTGATCCTCTTCTACCCAAATTCCACCCTTTTCCCTTATCTCAGGTCTCACCCCAATCCACTCCATCCTTCCTTCAACTGCCAAGGTTATTTTTCTAGAGTAACTCGGTAGTGCGCTATGTAGAATACTGAGCTTGGAATTAGGAAGACTTGAGTTTGAATCCTGCCTCAGAGATTTAATGGTTGTATGACCAGCACACTTAATGTCTGTTTGATGATCTTCTGTTTCCTCATTTTACAAATGAGAATAATTAACAGCACCTACTTCCCAGGGTTATTGTGAAAATCAAGCTGAAGTCATTTTGCAAACTTTGAAGGGCTATATAAATGTTAGTTATTATTATTGTGTAGATCTGACAATGTCACCCTCTAGATTCAAATAGCATCTCCCTTTGGCATTTAAAGCTCTTCATAATGTGGCCTTTTCTTACCTTCTCAGTTTTCTTACAGTTTACTCCCCTTTGTGTTCTCTGATCTACTGACATTGGCTTAGATGTACAATCTTCCAGTTCTAGTGTGTGACCCCTCAGGCACTGTCCCTACCTTGGCACTAGTCTTTCTCATCTCATCCTTTGATTATTGTAATAGCCTGCTGATTGGTTTCCTTGCTTTGTTTCTTCTCAATCTGTTCCGTCTTCCACTTAGCTATCAAAGTGATTGATCTAAAAGTCTAATCATGTCACTCCCCTACTCGATAAACCTGAATGTTTCTCTGTCATCTCCAGGATCAAATATAAAATCTTTTGACTTTTGAAGCTCTTCATAACCTAGCCCCTTCCTACCTTTCCAGTCTTCTTACTCTGCTCTTCATACTGTATAATGCTGACAGTGATCTCTTTGCTGTTCCTGGCATAAGATACTCCATCTCTCACCTGGGCATTTTCACTGACAGTCCCCATGCTTGGAATGGTCTTCCTCTTCATTTCAGTCTTATAGCTTCCCTGCCTTCTTTCAAGCCTCTGCTCAAACCCTGCCTTCTGTAAGAAGCCTTTCCTGGTGCCCCTCACCCAGTTATCCAGTTTATCCTGTCTGTATCTTGTTTGAACATAGTTGTTAGCAAGTTTCTCCTCTATTAGAGAGTAAGCTTCTTGAAGACAGGTGGTTTCTTTGTATCCCTAACACAGTGCATGGCACATTATAGGCACTTATTATATGCTTGTTGACTTGAATATAATCTCTGATTCCCTCAAAACTAATCTCACATTCCACCTTCTGTAGACCTTTCTCAATCTCCTCACCACTAATACCTTCCCTTCTCAGGTTAACTATCTAACTGTATATATACCTTATACGTTCCCAGTTATTTTCGTATCTCTCTGCTAATCCCTCACTCCCATGTCTGTGATGTAGACTTCTTGAGGCCAGGTACTTACTATTTTCTGCCCTCTTTTTAACCCAAGTACTCTGCACAGTTCCTGGTATGTCGTAAGCCCTTAATATAAATGCTTGTTGTTGACTAACTACTCCAAGGTAATATCAAGTTGTCACTTGGATTTGTTACTAATCTTTCTCATAATATTGTGTGTATATATACATATATATGTGTATGTATATAATCTGTGTATGAGTGTATATATCAGAAATAGCATAGCCTGTGAAAAATGGGCATATGGTAATCTTTTCTTTTCATGTGTGTTGTCTAGACTTGATGGCAAAATTAATTTGAATGTGGCTTCTAGGATTTGCTGTCTAAGAAAAAAGCTTTGCACGCTAGGGGGCCATCAATCCATATTATTTTCTTTTTCAACTGTCCAAGGATTAATAACTGGTTACAACAGATTTACTGCCAAGTGAATTAGATAGGTAGAGATCATTTGGTTTGTGTTTTTGTATCCCCAGTGCTTGGCCTTACTAGGTATTTTATATTTATTTAACTTAGTAAATTTTGTTGAATTGAATTGAAAATTTGAAATGGAACATGCAAATGATAAGGCATCCTTTTGAAAGTGGACTTTTAAAAAAAATACCTTGATCAGACTCAGACTTACTTTTAGCTCTTACCTAGTCATTTTAAAAGATATTGCTGAAAGCTTGCCTCATCTGACAATGGGGTGTACAACAAAGTTTAAAGATACATCAGTGTCTATTCTTTATTTAAAATATCTATCAAAATGTAGTGATAGTTTAGAAATTGGCTGTTCTTGGCTTTCTGTTTAATTTTTTTGTAAAGAATTGATCAGATCAAGTTAATTAAAAAGTGAAATATTGAGTTTGTGATATAAGCTAATAAGTCAGCAGCTCTTAGATGATCAAGGATGGGCTATGTCTTTTCAATTCAAGTTCAGTAGTTTATTCTCAAACAACTTCCCTAGTAATAAATACTCAAGAACCTTATGAATATGTTCCTATAGTTTTCTGTTACTGTGAAATTGGACAGTCCTAACTGACTGTTGGCCACGAGTTTAGCATATGGTTTAAATTGTTCCTTCCCCTTAGCCTGGGGGAGAATAGGTTTGTATTACACCATCTATACACTACAACCTATTCTCCATTGTGATTAGTAAAGTGTCTTTTATGTTGAATTTGAAAAAAGTTTAGTAAAGCTAATTGACCATTATGGGGAACAAACCTAAAATGCAAGCTTTAATCAATTTTAGACCATAATTTCCTAAGTTGGTCATGATTCAAGATTATAGAGAAGTCAGCATACATGTAGCATAGGATTTGGCTCTGTAGCCGGATGAAGTTGACAACAGTGTAGTTTTGGTGACCCACTTTACTTTTGGTAAAGCTGGAGATTGTGTTGCATCTGTGGAGTAATGATTGGGCTTCCTTATTTTATTTTCATTGCTCCTCTTGTTTTTAATAGTCGTTTCTGAATATGGTCCATCTCTCCTTTCCCTGTTTAGCTATCCCTTTTTTACAAAGCATAAAACACAGTTCAGCAAAATCAACCGACCATTTATGTAGCATTTTTCACTTCTTGTCTCTCACATCTAAAATAAAATGAGGGAGGGAATTTTTCTCACTTGTTCTTAGGGGCCAATATTTAAATTGTTCTTTCAGTTAATATTGTTGTAGTCATTTAGGTAGTAACTTAAATTTGCATCAGTTCGTGTAAATCTTCCCATGCTTCTCTGAATTACTAATATTGTTTGTTTCTTAAGATGCAGTTGTTTTTTACTGTGTTCCTGTACTACAGTTTTTTAGTCATTCTTCAGTTGGTGGATGCTCTGGTATCAAGAAACTGGAAACAGAGTGTTGCATGGGGTATATCTTTCTGTCTTTGGGTTATATACCTTTCCATTGGATCTCTGGCTCAAAGATTGGACGCTTTGATCACTTTTTTTTTTTTTTAAGCATGATTCCAAATTGCTTTCTTGAGTGGTTGTACCCCTTCACATCTCCACTAGCAGTGTATTAGTGTTCTTGCCTTCCCTCCAGCATTGAGTATTTCCATCTTTTGTCATCTTTGCTGATTTGCTAGGTGTGAGTTGTTTTTTAGAATTGTTTTTCTTTTTATTATTAGTGATTTGTTAGCAGTCTTTCATATAGCCAATAACAGTTTGTAGTTCTTTTCTGAAATGTTTATTTCTTTTGGCCACTGGAAAGAGTTTGTGATTGTGTATTTGTTGAAATTTCCTATATATCTTAGATATCAGTCTCTAATTGGAGATTTTTTATACAAAGATATTTTCTCCCTATCACTTCTTTTCTAAATATATGTGCATTGATTTTGTTTTCAGTTTCATTTAATTAAAATTGCCTTTCTTTTCTTTTGAGAGTAGTCTCTGTATTCTGTTTTTGTTTAAGAACTCTCTCCTTGCCATGTTTGTGAGAGAGAATAATTGATTTAAAGCTATTTAGGGAACTAAGAGGTATCTTTGGCAAGGTCACATAGGGAATGTCAGAGTCAGAAATTTGAACCTAGGTCCTCTGATTCCGAATTAAATGCTCTTCCCACCCCACTGCACTGCCTCTACTGAGGTGTCTTTTAACAAAACTGTCACCACTTATAAAGTATGCATTAGTAGAATTCCTTTTCTTTTCACTTTACATGAACTACATAGTTTATGTTCTGCCTGTTTTAAAAACTGGTTGCAGTTGTGTAGCAGAGGAAGATTTTTTAATTATTTGATCTTTTGGTTTGATTTGTCACCATCTGTGTGTGTAAATTGTAGTTTATTAGTAAACTGTGTGAAAAGCATATAGGCTAAGAAGTAACCTTTTCCTTTTGCCTTCAACTTATATAGCTTTTATCAATATTATTCCTTTTATTCCTTTTTCTTTCTCATCATAAGGTCCATAAGTAGCCCTAATTCTTCCCATCTAATACGTCTCTCCCTCTTATCTGTTCAATAATTCTTTTCAACTCTCAGCCTTTATATTAGACTAGGAATTCTGTGAGGACAGAAGGATGTCTTATCTAAATTTGAGCTTGCAAACCTAACAAAATGTACAAGCATGTTAAATGTTTGAATTGAATTTTAAGAAGCAAGTTCTAATTTAGTACATCAGAGAGAAGTTCTGTTTCTGAGAATTGTCATCAGACAGCTGTATCTCTGCCAGTGTTTAATCAAATATCTTAATAAGCAATAAATGAAGAACATTATACATTTCTAATACTTTAAAAATATGTATTTTTGAGGTCAGGTAGCATGTCTTTTGCATATTCTTTGTAAATCACTGAAAAGAATCATTAGAGTTTTGAGTTTAAATATATTATCATGAGCCTTGGATAATGAAAACAACACTGGATTGGGAGTCAGGTATTCTGGATGGCTTATACTGACTTGTAGAGAGAGTCAGAAATCAAACTCCAGTGAAGTCAGTTGATTGCTAAGTCCTGGGCTTGTCCCATTACTATGCTGCCTGTTCCATTATGCCGTACTTTTCTCCTAATTTCTTCCCTGATAAATAAAGTCTTATGCCTCAGGAAATGAGAAACAACAACACATACAATTCTACGTGGAAAGCGTTGGACAGTTTTAAGTTGTTTATTGTTGTGCTTTGTTCTTAATTTTGTAGAAATGTTTGTAGTCATTAAAACCAAGTTATTAAAACAAAGATGTTTCTATTGTAGGCAAAAGATGTCCATCAGCACCAAGTGGATTCACTTGTGACAGCTACAGAACCTACCACAAGATCTCCTCTTTCTGCAAATAATCTTTCAAAAAAAACTTCCACTGACATCCCTAAAGAAAGTATGAGAACCAAGAGAGTCAGACATTCCCCAAGTAAACACGCTGTACCTGAACAAAACAAAGAAGAAAACTGTAGGGTTCAATGAATTTTAAAAGGTTTCTGTAGTGTATGAGTGCTATACAAATTAAAAAATATTTTTCAAAGGCCTCCCATTGAGGTTTTTGTCTAGTTGTCTTGCAGTTGTTGAGTGTGTGCGTTTTTAGATGGGAAATGTTAGAATAAGAACAATTGTATTGCTTTTGCATATCATTCTCATTGTTCCTCCGTGTACAGTAATGTAAATAGTCCTGTATAAAGTTATGTAGAAAAAGTTTCAATGAATATAACATACTTTAAGTAGGGAATGAGGCATTAAACCTACAAAACACATTTTGTGTTATATTCATTAAAATGACCAGTAGTACCAAAAATATATATTGTAATTTTAGTCTGTATCAGGAGACATATGAGAGATTTTGAGGAATGAATTGTAATAGCCGTATGTCCACTTGAATAAATAAAAAGAAAACCATGTATTTTAGGAGTAAGTAAAAGATATGTATAGTTTGTTTATAGTAAAATTATGATTTTGAAGTGTCTATAGCTAACATAAATGATTAAAAATAAAAAAAAATACATTACTTGTGGAGATATATAATTCATTCTTTCTGTTGACTCCTGGTGTGGGAAGTGGAGAAATATGACTGTGTGTGAGAATGCTTAGAAATCCTGTTCTTATTCAGGTAATAGATTATCAGATGATAATAATAATATTCAGATAATATTGTTCAGATATAATGATCATGTAAAGGTCAGCTCCTAAGAAAAAACCCCTAAATTGGTTTTTGTTAAGATAATGGTCATTGGGGCAGCTAGGTGGTGCAGTGGATAGAGCACTGGCCCTGGAGTCAGGAGGACCTGAGTTCAAATCCAGCCTCAGACACATAACACTCCCTAGCTGTGTGACTGGGCAAGTCACTTAAACCCAATTGCCTCACCAAAAAAAGAGTCAAGAAGGATAAGGATTGATTGAAGACCATTAGATTTAGTATTTGGTCAATCAGTAAACATTTTATGAAGTGCCTAGTATGAACCAGACACCGTTAGGCACTGGGAATATGAACAGGGGCAAAAGATAGTCCCTGTCCTTAAGGAGTTCGCAATCTAATGGGGGAGACAAGCTAACAGATATGTACAAACAAGCTCTATACAGGATAAATAATTAAAAAGGGCACCAGAATTAAGAGGGATTGAGAAGGGCTTCCTGTAGAAGATGAGATTTTAGTTGGGGCTTGAAGGAAGCCAAAGAAAGCCAGAAGAAGGAGATGAGGATGGAGAGCATTCCAAGCATGGGAAAACAGCCAGTGAAAATGTCTGGAGCTATGAGGTATCTTGTTCATGGAACAGCAAGAAGGTTAGTGTTACTGGATCAAAGATGGAACGGGTGAAGGAATCATTGGTAATTTTGGAAAGAGTAGTTTCAGTTGAATGATGTAGTTGGAAGCCAGACTGCAGAGATTTAAGGGAGTGGGGAAAGGAAATAAAGACATCAGTTGTAGATTAGCTAGGAAAGGAGAAGAGATAAAGTATGATAACAGGGATGGATGGATCAAGTTAGTGTTTTTGAAGGATGGGGAAAGAGATGGGCATATCTGTAGGCAGGAGGGAAGTAGTAGATGGAGAGATTGAAGAAAAATGAGGGCAGATGATAAGAGGTAGAAATCTTCTGAAGGAGAAAGGACAGAAGGGTGTTGCTGGTTTACCTTGGCAGGTTATAGGGCCTCCTCTTTATGAGAAACGGGTGAAAGAGGTAGAAGGCATCTAGAAAATACAAGGTGAAGAGAGTAGAAGAGGGGGCTGTTGGCTAATGACCTCAATATTTTTCAGTGAAAGGTTCTCCACTGAGAGGGTAAGGTTCAGGGGAGCCGTGGGAGTCTTGAGGGAAGAAAAGGTTTGGAAAAGCCACTGGTGAATGATTCAATTGCAGGTTTGTGGAAGGATTGCCTTGACTTCGCGCACAGTTGAAATTTATGGAACATATTTGTAGGAGGTCCAGTCAGAACAGTTTTCATGATTTTCCTCAGCTTTATTTAGCAGTTTGTATAGGAGCCATGGTGGGAGTAATATAAGATCTTCAATAGCATAAAGGGGCAAGGGACTCAGGAGAAGACAGTGTAGAAATTAAACTGGTTCACCAAAGAGTCAAGATGGGAAAGGGAGAAGAGTGTAGTTAGTAAAGGCATGGTGACCTGGGAAAGAACTGAAGGGTAGAGGGATTAAAGGGCATAGCAAAGACAAAAGAATAGGTTTGAGAATTGCAAGGCAAAAGAAGTGGAAGTGCATTAGTTTCCTATGGAACAGTCAGGCATTCTTGAGAGCACTGTGGAAGAGCTGTGTAGCTTTAGAGTGAGACCTTAGAAGGTTTAGGTTGGGGGAGATAGGAATAAATAAACAGTCAGATGGGGTGCCAAGAACCAGGGTTTGAACAGTGGCAGCTGGAGGTTCAGCATCACGGAGATGGATGGAGGGAATGATGAGGTGGGAATGTATATTCATCATTAAGGAACAAGTTCTATTGGGTTATCATTGTCTATTCAGGTTCAGTCTGGGGCTGGAGTTGTTCCTGGGTAACTGGGAGCTGTGTGTAGCTGGAAATGGGGAGAGGGGGGTTGCCTAGTCATAGGCAACTTGCCTACTGTACAGGCTGAGCATCCAAAGAGAGTGCTTGGAGCCTGGAGCATGTTAGGTAAGCTGGCTACTGTAGAGCTCAGGCAGCCAAAGAGTGTCAATCTCTGCTAGGCAAGCTGGAAAAAAATCTGGATATCAATATCAAAATCAAAACATACATATACACATGTATGGCTCTATATATCTATATAGACAGATGATCAATGATAGCTAGATAGATGACATGCATATCTATATCTAATCTGTCTATGTATGTAAGTGAACCTCATGTTGTGAAAGAAAACATAACCCCCCCCCAAAAAGAAACAAACTAAAAAACCCCAACCTTAAGAAAAATAAAGTAAAAAAAAGTATGCTTCAATCTGTATTCAGACACTATCAGTTCTTTCTGTGGGGATGAATAGCATTTTTCATGGTAAGTCCTTCAGAGTTGTCTTGGATCATTGTATTGCTGAGAATAGCTAAATCATTCATAGCTAATCATCTTACAATATTGCTATTACTTTGTACATAGCACATTTTACTTTAAATTGCAAATTTTTTTGAAGCAGGGCAAGATGGTCCATAAGTTCTCAAAGATCCAGTGATAAAAGGTAAAAAATCAGAGCCTTGGTCCTATTTCTTCCAATATAATTGCCTTTTTAGAGACTGCTAGTACAGAAACACAGATTCATAGCATCTCAGAATTGGAACAGACGTCAGAGATCACTTTGTCCAATATATGCCTGAACAAGAATCCCTTCTATAACAGAACGGTATAAGCCCAATCGAGGCAGCCTTGGGTTAAGGAAGACTTGTCTTCCTGTGTTCAAATCTGGCCTCAGACACTTACAAGCAGTGTGACCCTGGGCAAGCCATTTTACTCTGCTTGCCTCAGTTTCCTCATCTATAAAGTAAGCTGGAAAAGGAGATGGCAAACCACTGCAGTATCTCTGCCAAGAAGACCCCAAATGGGGTCACAGAGTCATACGCGATGGAACAACAATAGGCCCCAAAATCTATGTCCTTAAACAGTGAGACAGGTAATCTATGACCTCTGGTGACAAGAAACCCATCACCTCTCGCCTCAACTCATTCCACTTTGAGGTAGCTCTGATTTCTAGAAAATTTATCCTATATATATCAAGTACAAATCTACCCCTCTGTAACTTTCCCATTGCTCATATTTCTGGCTTCTAGGGACAAGCAGACCAAATCCAATCCCTCTCCCACATAATAGCCTTTCTGATATTTGAAAGCAGCTATCATGATTTCCCAAGACATTTTTTTTTCTTAAGCTAAACATCCGTGGCTCTTTCAATGAGTCCTTGTATGGTATAATTTCTAAGCATTTGGAATTTGTGATGGTTTAGATGCAAGTTATATGGCAGCTAAGTGGTGCAATGGATAGAGTATCAGGCCTGGAGTCAGGATAACCTGAGTTCAAATCCAGCCTTACTAGCTGTTTGACCTTGGGCAAGTTACTTAATCCATTGGCATCAGTTTCCTCATCCATAAAATGGGGATAATAATAGTATCTATTTTCGAGGATTGTTGTGAACATCAAATGAGAATATTTACAAAGTGCTTAGCACAGTGGCTGGCATAAAGTAAGTACCATATTTTAGGGGGAAAAAAAGAATGAAGTTTACTTTTGCGTTATCCAGCAAGAATGGCTTCCTAAACCAATGAATAGTGTTAAAAAAAAAACCCTAGAAATAATGCCTAACCTAATTTTAACAATACCAATAGCTAGAGGTATGCTGGTAAATGTTTAATGACTAGCTCTCCAGAAAAGGAGGAGCACACATTTTTAAGTTGAATCTGCCTTATTAAATTTTATCCGTTACTTTCTTAAGTGTAGACAAACAATAAATCAAACCCTGATTTGTAGCATTTGCCTGATTCTCAAGGTGTGGTGAATGCTCCCACCAAAAATTTAACTGTCACTCTCGAGCCAGTTTGGGCTGACTACAGTATGCAGTCTGACTGGAGCTCATATTTATATAACACCTTGTAGCTAACAAAGTGCTGTCCTGACCATGACACATTGAGTAAGGTAGTGTAGATACTGTCACTCTCTATTTTATGGATATGGATACTGAAGCTCAGAAAGGGGAAAGAGGCCCACAAAGTCACACAGCTAGGAAGTGGAGGAACTTGAACTCAAACCCAAGTCTTCTTACTTCATATTCAATTTTCCCTGCTTTTAAGTACACTGGCAACATCTATTGAACAATTAATATGCTTACTGTAAATGATTCTTACTTATTTAAGCATTTACTACTGGCTTCTTCCAGAAAAGGTCATGGGAGAAAGCACAGGAAGGATTTGAGCTGAACAAGGAGAAGGAAGTTATGAAGGTGATTTGAGAGATTTGATTTCATCCAGAAGGCTAGAAATTGAATCTGGGGAGGAGGCGTTTGGTAGGATTTAAGGAATATGTGAAAAAGAAGAGTCTGTAGGTCCACATTCTAGTTTCCCTTTTGCAAGCTAAGATTTTGGGAGAAAAGTCCTGGAAAGCAGCCAAGATGGCAGATTAGGAGGAAGTAATACAGCCTAGCTCCCCTGCCATTACATGACTCAACCTTCAGCACAGGGGATGTACCTCTGTAAGCCAGATTTCTCCCATCCCAGTTCATTCCTTGAGTATCTGGGACTCAGCGCCCAGGAGAATAATAAGGCTGCAGCTTGGTTGCTCTGAACTCGATCTCCTGAGAAGGAATCTGAGATGTGGATTTCAGCCCCTAAGTGCCAGGTTTGTAGACTTATTTCTAACCTGGGAGAGAAGGCCACTGGCAGTCCCAGGGCAAAGAATAGGGCCTTCACATAGTTGCTTTAGCTTTTCATGACATCATTCTCTCCTGGTTCTCCTCCTACCTGACTAGTCCTCAGTATCTTTTGCTAGATTGTCATCTAGATCACAC